TCCTCAAACATACGAGATAGCGCGTCAGGCTTCGTATTTTTAGATCCGGGCCTGTAAGTAATATGAAAATTGAATCTGGAAAAGAACAGGGCCCATCTTGCCTGCCGTGGGCGTAGACGCTTGGCAGTCCTCAGATATTCCAGATTCTTGTGGTCTGTGAAAATCAATATAGGGTGTGAGGCACCTTCCAGCAGGTATCTCCATTCTTCTAGCGCTGCTTTGATAGCCAGCAGCTCTCGATCCCCGATATCGTAATTCTTCTCTGCTGGGGTGAGTTTCCTCGAGAAGAATGCTACGGGATGGAGTAACTCTTTGGTGCCTTTCCGCTGAGACAGGATGGATCCTACCGCATTCTCCGATGCATCTACCTCCAAGATGTAGGGCAGGGCCGCGTCCGGGTGGCCCAGGATGGGTGCCGAGGTAAACAGCTTTTTCAGAGCTTCGAAAGCTTTTTGAGCCTCTGGTGTCCATTTGAACCGGGTTCCAAGTTTGGTTAGTTGGGTAATGCGGGAGACCAGACCCGAGAAGTTTTTGATGAACTTCCGATAAAAGTTTGCGAACCCTATAAACCGTTGGACACCTTTTTTGTCCGTGGGTTCAGGCCAATCTAAAATTGCAGAGACCTTCTGGGGGTCCATCGCGACCCCCGCAGTGGAGATAATCAGGCCTAGAAACGTGATGCTAGATTGCTCAAAGCAACATTTCTCCGCCTTAGCATATAACCCATGCTGCCGCAATCGCCCCAAAACTTTTGCCACATGTATCCTATGATCCTCTAGAGAGGGTGAAAAAATTAGTATGTCGTCCAAGTAGACGATAACGAAGACATCCAAAAAATCCCTGAAGATGTCGTTCACAAAGTGTTGGAAGGTGGCTGGTGCATTGCACAGCCCAAATGGCATGACCAAGTATTCAAAGTGGCCAAACCGGGTACGGAAAGCAGTTTTCCACTCGTCCCCCTCTCTTATGCGTACCAGGTTATAGGCCCCCCTTAAATCAAGCTTTGTGAAAATAACCGCAGCCTTTAGGCTCTGAAACAGTTCTGGTACCAATGGCAATGGGTAACGATTTTTTATCGTGACCCTGTTCAGCTCCCGGTAGTCAATACAAGGTCTCAGGGTTTTGTCTTTTTTCTCCACGAAGAAGATTCCCGCTCCTGCTGGAGAAGTGGAGGGGCGGATGAATCCCTTCTGGAGGCTGTCCTCGATATATTCCTTCAGGGCCCCCAATTCAAGCTCAGATAGGGGGAAAATACGCCCAAAAGGGATTTCAGAGCCTGGTAACAGGTCGATTGGACAGTCATACGGGCGGTGGGGGGGCAGAGTGTCGGCTCCCCGCTTACTGAACACATCCAGGAACCCATGATAGGCTGCGGGAATAACCTGTTTCAAGTCGGAGTCTCCTTCGGAGCAAAGGAGAACTCAGGGCCCCGCGGGGCCCGAAGTGCGACAATGTTCCCGACAGTATGGGGAAGGGAACGAGATTGACCCGGTCTCCCAGTCAATCTGGGGGTTATGGGCCCGTAACCATGGGAGCCCCAGAATGACTGGGAAAAGAGGTGATGCAATAGCGTCCAGGCGGAGGAACTCCTGGTGCTGGTTGGCAATGATAGTGGCAATGGGGGGAGTTTCCTGATTAACTACCCCCGATTTTATCTGGGAACCATCAGCCAAAAAGATGTTGAAGCCCTTCTGTCTGTGTTGGAGAGGGATACCCTGTTGGTGAGCAAACTCTAGATCCAGGAAACAGCTGCATGCCCCCGAATCAACTATGGCTGTCACCTCCACGATCTTTCCTGGAAGCTGAAAGGAGAGGGGCACTACTAAGTATTGCGAAGGACAGGTATTGCTAATAGACAAGGAAGAAAAACGGGTGCACTTACTCATTTTTTGAGGGCAGGATCGCACCATATGACCAGCTTCACCGCAGTAAAGGCAGAGGTTCTGGGCTCGTCTGCGCTGGCGTTCCTCCGGTGATAATTTAGGCCGTGCCAGACCTAGCTGCATAGGTTCCGGAACATCTCCTGGTGGTGGGTTCTGGATGCTTTGTCGGGTTGGTGGGCTGGGGCCTAGGAATGGACCCCAGTATTTCCACGACCCTGGCCGGACCTCTCAAGCCTCCCGCAGTCTTCGGTCAATCTTAATTGTCAGGGCAATAAGGTCTTCTAGAGACTCGGGAACCTCCACCCGGGCCAGCTCATCTTTCAAGGGAACGGAGAGTCCCATACGGAACTGGTGCAATAGAGCGAACTCATTCCAGCGTGTGTCCCCCATCCACCGCCTGAAATCAGAGGCGTATTCCTCTGCCGCCCGCCGGCCCTGTCGGAGCGCATAAAGGTCGCTTCGGCAGAGGCTGCCCGCTGTGGGTCATCATACAAGATGGCCATTGCTTCAAAGAAACTATTGACCGATCCCAGGTGAGGATCATTGTTTCCCCTTAGCCGGTGGGCCCAATCCTGGGGTTCACCCTGTAGTAGTGAAATAATGAATCCTACCTTCACGTTTTCGGTCAGGAAGGTACGGGGTTGTAGCTCAAAGAACAAGAGACAGGAGTCGCGGAATGACCGGAAGCGTGTGCGGTCCCCGTGAAAACGCTCCGGTAGGGGTACTCGGGGTTCTACCATAGGGAGCGGGGCGGAGGCCCCTGAGACTGGCTCCTGAGCTACCAGGGCCGGGGGTGCAGAAACCGGGGCCTGTGGGGCAGGATCAGAAATAGAGCCAGTCTGGATGCGATTCTCCAGCTGCATGCATTTGTCCTGCAGGACCGTTACGGCCTGCGTCAAATTAGCTAGGTGCCTGCAAATTTCCTCTAACGGGGAGGGCCCTCCTCTAGGCTCAGTCATGGCCTTTTGGTACTGTAAGGGACCGCCCGGCGGTACCACTAGCACTCCACTGGTCGGATGTTCCCAGCGCACGGAGTCTAAGCCCCAGGGTACTTGTTCCCCAGGGCCCCTGATGGTGGGGATGGACTTGGAGTACCCCAGGACCAGGTCGTGACTACTGAGGACACCCGTCAGTGGTAGGGGTATTCGCCAGGGGCTCCCACGGGAGAGAGCCAGGTATGAGGAGGTCTGGAGACCCCGTAGAGAGGGACGGATGGATGGATGGATGGATGGCTGAGCAGGAGCAGGGTCATACAAGCCGGGTCGGTAACTATGGGGACGGTGCGGTACAGAGCAGCGGGCAGAGAATAGTTGGGTCACACGCCAGGTCAGCAACAGCAGGTCAGATCCAATAGGGGGCATTCAGGAGAGAGGTCAGGCAAGCAAGGGTCAAAACAGGAGAAAACAGCAAGGTCAGGGCACAATCCGGGTCAGCAACTTACTTCAGACAGGTTCACAGGTTCACAGGATACAAAAGACCAAAAGGCACTGAATGACAGCTCAGGGCCGTTTAAATATCCCGCCCTGCGCTGTCATTGGTGCCAGGCGCAGCGCCCGCGGTCACTACTGCGCATGCGCGAACCTGATTGCCGCGGTCGGCCAAGTCCCGGCGCTCGCGTACAGGGAGGTGTACTGCGCCTGCGCCGGGACCAGCGGCGCGACGATCTCCGACAACAGCGCTGAGTGAACTATCGGCGCTTTATAAATACTGTATAATAATAATAATAAGGTATGAAAGGGAGTGTAAGGGAACCCCCAGGTGGGAGGGGCTAGTCCCAAAACTGGTCTCTCGGCAAGCGCTGGTTAAAAGTGTCACCATACTGATCAGGAATGAATCCATTCCTCCTACTGACATCACAGAGTGGTTAAGTAGATTTGGGGATGTGTTGGCCCCCCTTAAAAAAATTGTGGAGATAGAGGGATCTGGACAGGCGGATGGACAGCCACAGTAAGGCTGCATGTGGTGGGAAATCAAATCAAACACCTACCCATATTGGCTTTCCTAGGAAAAAAACGATTAGTAGTATTTTAAGCTGGGCAACCCAAGGTCTGCCATAAATGTGGGAATAAAAGGGCTTTTTGCGGCCACATGTGAAGTCATAAAGTGTTCACTCTGTCAGGGGATTGGGCACACTGCCCGTGAGTGCAACCAAATTTGTTGCAATTTATGCCTGCAACTAGGGCATTCATATAACAAATGTCCAGAGGTCCTCCATAATTTGCCTGGCCTGATGGAGGAACTTGATAGCATGGAGGCTGAGGAAAGGGGTGAGGAGTCATCTTCCCCTCCTCCTGGGGATTCTACTGTCTCGGGTGCCCCAGATGCACCAGTGGCATCTACCGTGACCCCTAATGTACCTGTACCTGCCCCTTGTGAAGTCTCCCCGTCTTGGTATCTCCCCAGGTACCTCCTTCTGTGTTGTCTACCCCCACTCCTAATGTTCCTTTCCCCCCTCCTCGGAGGAACCGGGGTGCGGGGGCCAAGAAGGGGCCCAAGGCGCCTTCTGTGGTACCACCTCCGGTGGTCCTCCTATCTCGTCGCAAGGATCCTGCGGGGGTTGTGGTGATTCCTGAGGGGGTTATAGGGAAGGGCGAGCTGTCAGCTCTTGATCTTGGGGATGGTGGATCAGGTGAGGGAGGTAAAGGGGATGGGTGGTCGGTAGTGGGGAAAGGAAAGGGTAAGGTGGTGTTGTCCCCCGCTTCCTCTATACCCTCCTTTGAGGAGGGGGAAGAGTTCATCACAAATAAGTTTTGGAACCTCTCGGGGGAGGATAGGGAGTCCGGTAGGACCCCTTCTCCCATGGAAAAGGAGGAAGTACTTGAGTCTCGCAAGAGGGCTAAGTCCTCAGCCAAGCTGAGGAAAACTAAGGTTAAGAAAGGTTAAGGTTACCTTGATGGCAGTTCCCGCTCCGATAAAAGGTGGCAACCAAAATCTGTAGGTGCTAGGAGTATGGCCTTATTTTTGCTCAATAGTATTTGTGCTGATGTTTTTTTTTGCAAGAGACCAGGCTCAGCAGTCTTGCTGATATTCATCTGGAGAAGAGGGAATGGAGGAATGGTCCCTCTTTCTGGTCTCTTGCGGCCGAGCCTTACAGCGGAGTTGCGGTGCTTTTTACCAGCATGGTAACGTGTCGGCGGGTCATCAAGGTGGAGGTTGGAAGATGTATGGTCTTAGACGTCCTTGTGAAGGGGCAAAAGCTAAGGCTTATTAATATCTATGGTCCCCAGACCAAGTGGGATAGGAAATGCCTCTTTACAAGGATTAAGCCTTTCCTTTTTATGTGCCGGCAATTTGTCTTTGGAGGAGACTTTAATACTGTCACAGTATGGGGTATGACAGCATTTTTCTAAATACAATAGTTAGGGAAGCAGGTCTGGAGGATGCCTTAATTAAGTGCAGCCCAGACAACATGAGTTTCACCTATAGGCGAGGTAGAAGAGAGAGTAGAATAGACAGGTTTTTTTAAAGGGGGGCTCTGCCTTCTCGGCACCCGTGTGTCAGGCAGAGGAGTTTTCCGACCACCTTTTGCTGACTGTGTCTTTAAATGTTTCAGATGCACCACTGAAGGGGAGGGGTGTCTGGAGACTGAATTCGACTCTGCTGGATGATGAGGAGGTGAGACGATCCTTCAAGGATTTCTTTAAAGCTCAGAAGACCATCCTGGATTTCTGCAGCAGTAAGTCGGAGTGGTGGTGGGAGCTTACTAAAGTGTGGATTGGCAGGTTTTTCAAGGCCCTAGGTAAAAAAAAACAGTTTGATAAGTATATTGCCTACCAACGGTTATGGAGGAAGCTCGATCTCCTTGCCTCTGAGGGTGGAGATTCTGGGGCAATCTCAGAGGTTAAGCTTCTCCTCAGAAAATATCAGTATGATCGGCATACCTCCTTGGTTCTGGAGAGGGATTATGGGAAGCACCATTCACCTGACCCTTACCAGAACTGCAAGCAAGGTGTAGCGATTAAAACTGTCTGAGAGACAGTCACTGGTCTGAGAGATAGTACGGGTTCCCTGACAAAATCCAGGTCAGGGATCTTGGAGGTCTCAAGGGCGTTCTTTGAGGATCTTTTGGGGGAAAAGCAACTTGACAAGGCAAGGATGTCGAGCTTTTTAGATAGTCTGGCCATTAAGAAGACGCCTGGGCCAGACGGTTTTGACAGCAGAATTCTTTAAGATTTTTAAGTCCAGCTTGGCATCTCACCTTTCGGAGGTCTTTAATAGCTTTCTGGATGAGGGTTCACTCCCTCCATGAGGAAATCGGCTGTGATCTTGTTGTCAAAAGGTAAGGACCCTTCGATGATCGAGAATTGGCACCCCATCAGCCTTCTCAATGTCGATAGAAAGATTCTGGCCAAGATCCTTTTCTGGCGCTTGTCGTCAGCGACAGACGGGTTACTTTCACAGCGTCAGCACTGCTCGGTTCAGGGCAGAAGTACATTCACAGCGGTGTTTAGCTGTCTGGGAGGTTCTGGAGCAATGCAGGGCTGATTGCAGTGGGAAGTATTTGCTGGCGCTGGATCAGGCCAAAGCTTTTGATCGGGTAGACCGTAAGTACCTCTGGCATCTCCTTGACCGGTATGGCCTGGAAGGGAGGTTTATTGGTTGGTTAAAAACATTGTACAGAGGGGCGGAGAGCTTCATGTTGATCAATGGTTGGGTTGGGCGGCCTTTTGAGGTTGGCTCTGGGGTGCGCAAGGGGTGTCCGCTGAGTCCCTTGCTCTATGCATTTGCCATCGAACCCTTCGTCAGGAGGCTAGATGGCGGGGCGTTGGGCGGGGTGCCGGTGGGCGCTACCGGAGAGCCGCCTTTGAGGGTCGTGGCCTATGCCGATGATGTGTCTGTATTCATCTCTGGGACTGATGAGGCACAGGAGGTGGTCTCAGAGATGGAGCAGTATCCGCATACTGCTCTATCTCTGAAACCACCTCCTGTGCCTCATCAGTCATCAGGCATCGGGCTCCAAGATCAATCGTGAGAAAAGTGAAGTTTTCTGGATGGGTAGGGAAGGTGAGAACTTCTCACTTCCGGATGCCTTCCCAGAGCCCCAGCCAAAGATCAATGTATTAGGCATCACATTTGGCCCTGTCAGGAATGGACTTGCCAATAGTGGTGGGACTCACCTGCCTTGTGGGCTGCAGTGCCAGGGCTGGCCAGCGGGTGCTCTCAACAACCAGAGGTTCACTTCGGCAATTAGCCATCACCTGCAGGTGGTGTATTTAAGGGATGGCCAGACCTGCAGTCTGTGCCTTGGTGTGTGTTTTTCCATGGGCCCCTGTACCTTGTAACCTGCATTCCTGTTCCTGTTCCTGTTTCTGTTTCTGCCTGACTTGTTGCCGACCCTGCCTGATCCTGACCTCTGCTGACTTCTCCTGTTTTATCCCTGGCTTGTGACCCTGACCATTCTCTCCACCTGCTCCTCCTGTACCTACCTGCCCGATAGTTATCGACCTGGCCTGCCTGACTACGTTGTGCTCTATATGTGTATGTATGCGCGAATCGAAATTTTTCCTAAAATGGCGGCGACATGTGCGGCGACGGAGCGGGGATGTCTGGGAAGGCGCGCAGACAAGGCGCGCTGACCCATAATGCATTCATTCATTCATGACATGTGATCGCATTAGCCAATCAGCAGCCAGCCAGCCAGCACAGTGTAATGGTCGAGCTATAAATGGCGGCCATTTTAGAATTCTCCATTTGCCTCCAGTCATTCAACAGAGGCAGACCTGGCTGTATTCAGGGAGAGAGTTAGGGACAGAGAAACGTTACTTAGGGACACAGAAACGTTAGTTAGGGCCACAGAATCGTTACTTAGGGCCATAGAAACGTTACATAGGGCCACAGAAACGTTACTTAGGGCCACAGAATCGTTAGTTAGGGCCACAGAAACGTTACTTAGGGACACAGAATTGTTACTCAGGGACAGACAGAATTGTTACTGAGGGATACAGAATTGTTACTGAGGGCCACAGAATCGTTACTTAGGGCCACAGAAACGTTACTTAGGGCCACAGAAATTGTTACTTAGGGACAGACACAGAATTGTTACTGAGGGACACAGAATTTGTTACTGAGGGCCACAGAAACGTTACTTAGGGCCACAGAAACAGAATTGTTACTTAGGGACAGACACAGAATTGTTACTGAGGGACACAGATTTGTTACTGAGGGCCACAGAATCGTTACTTAGGGCCACAGAAACGTTACTTAGGGCCACAGAATTGTTACTTAGGGACACAGAATTGTTTACTTGAGGGACACAGAATTGTTACTGAGGGCCACAGAATTGTTACTTAGGGCCACAGAAACGTTACTTAGGGCCACAGAATTGTTACTTAGGGACAGACACAGAATTTTTACTGAGGGACACAGATTTGTTACTGAGGGCCACAGAATCGTTACTTAGGGCCACAGAATTGTTACTTAGGGACACAGACACAGAATTGTTACTGAGGGACACACAGAATTGTTACTGAGGGCCACAGAAATCGTTACTTAGGGCCACAGAAACGTTACTTAGGGCCACAGAAACAGGGCCACAGAATTGTTACTTAGGGACAGACACAGAATTGTTACTGAGGGACACAGAATTGTTACTGAGGGCCACAGAACCGTTACTTAGGGCCACAGAAACGTTACTTAGGGCCACAGAATTGTTACTTAGGGACAGACACAGAATTGTTACTGAGGGACACAGATTTGTTACTGAGGGCCACAGAAACGTTACTTAGGGCCACAGAAACGTTACTTAGGGCCACAGAATCGTTACTTAGGGCCACAGAAACGTTACTTAGGGACAGAATTGTTAGAATTTTACTTAGGGACAGACACAGAATTGTTACTGAGGGATACAGAATTGTTACTGAGGGCCACAGAATTGTTACTTAGGGGCCACAGAAACGTTACTTAGGGACACAGAAACGTTACTTAGGGCCACAGAATTGTTACTTAGGGACACAGAATTGTTACTTAGGGACACAGAATTGTTACTGAGGGCCACAGAAACGTTACTTAGGGCCACAGAAACGTTACTTAGGGCCACAGAATTGTTACTTAGGGCCACAGAATTGTTACTGAGGGACAGACACAGAATTGTTACTGAGGGACACAGAATTGTTACTGAGGGCCACAGAACGTTACAGGGCCACAGAAACGTTACTTAGGGCCACAGAATTGTTACTTAGGGCCACAGAAACGTTACTTAGGGCCACAGAAACGTTACTTAGGGCCACAGAATTGTTACTCAGGGACAGACACAGAATTGTTACTGAGGGATTACTGAGGGCACAGAATTGTTACTGAGGGCCACAGAAACGTTACTTAGGGCCACAGAAACGTTACTTAGGGCCACAGAATTGTTACTTAGGACAGACACAGAATTGTTACTGAGGGACACAGAAACGTTACTGAGGGCCACAGAAACGTTACTTAGGGCCACAGAACGTTACTTAGGGCCACAGAATCGTTACTTAGGGCCACAGAAACGTTACTTAGGGCCACAGAAACGTTACTTAGGGACCACAGAATTGTTACTTAGGGACACAGAGAATTGTTACTGAGGGACACAGAATTGTTACTGAGGGCCACAGAACTGTTACTTAGGGCCACAGAAACGTGTTACTTAGGGCCACAGAAACGTTACTTAGGGCCACAGAAACGTTACTTAGGGCACAGAAACGTTACTTAGGGCCACAGAATCGTTACTTAGGGCCACAGAAACGTTACTTAGGGCCACAGAAACGTTACTTAGGGGACAGACACAGAAACAGAATTGTTACTGAGGGACACAGAATTGTTACTGAGGGACAGACACAGAATTGTTACTGAGGGACACAGAATTGTTACTGAGGGACACAGAAACGTTACTTAGGGGCCACAGAATTGTTACTTAGGGACACAGACACAGAATTGTTACTGAGGGACACAGAATTGTTACTGAGGGCCACAGAATTGTTACTTAGGGCACAGAAACGTTACTTAGGGACACAGAATTGTTACTCAGGGACACAGACACAGAATTGTTACTGAGGGACACAGAATTGTTACTGAGGGCACAGAACTGTTACTTAGGGCCACAGAAACGTTACTTAGGGACACAGAAACGTTACTTAGGGCCACAGAATTGTTACTCAGGGACAGACACAGAATTGTTACTGAGGGACACAGAATTGTTACTGAGGGACACAGAATTGTTACTTAGGGCCACAGAAACGTTACTTAGGGACACACAGAATTGTTACTCTCAGGGACAGACACAGAATTGTTACTGAGGGACACAGAATTGTT